GAAGAGTCATTGAATTCCTATTTGAATGAGATGTGGTAGCTGCTGTTGACTTTACTTGCACCAGACATGACACACAGTATGTGAGCACACACAAACGCGCACATCTACAAACTCAGACCTTGTGATTTCTTTTCATGCAGCACTTTGAAAAAGACTTGTTTCCATGACAATCTGCAAGTTGATGCACTTTTTAATGACATGAAAGCATGAAATTGTAATTCAGAGTAAGTATATGCCTTTGTTCCCCAGTTTTATTCAGAAAGAGAAAGACTCCAGAAACATTTATAAGCCTAATAATAGCTGTAATAACACTGCTGAATCTACCACTACTAATATAGCATAATGTAGCCCATGGTGTATATGCATGTATTGCTTTCTAAAGATCTGTATTGTCATTTATTAAATTTTTCCAAATCACAAACACTTAAGGAATTTACTGGGTTTTGTTTTGTATATTTAAAAACAGGCAAAAAAACAGCTCCTGGTACAAATGTGTCACTTTATTTGTAGCACAAACACACTGCAGTATGTATAACTTACTCAGTGGGACTCTGATGCATAATTAGCCAAATCATTTAGTGTTGTCTTTGTTTCCCTGTTGCAGAAACACTGTCTGAGCTGTCGACACTGCAAGGACTCCATTTAACACAAACAGATGAGATTAGTGTCTGCACGACCATACGTAACACGGATGCTTAAAGACATAAAATCAGACAACAAAACTAAACTAAAATCACTAAAAACCGAAGAGAAAAACAGTGGAACAAGACTCGAATAAGAATGTGACATGAGCACGGCACATTTACTACAAGTACATAACATCAAAGGTTTCATGAGAAAGCATTTAAAGCCCAACACAGATGTGGTCAAGTTTCTCAGTAAAACAGTTTTAAAGTTTTCATTTAGATTCCTGTTGCCCTCCTTCAGTAAATCTGTACATTTGCAGAGTTTAACAGGATCTGGAGCAGCTTGCTACAGTACATAGTTATTCGCACTGGCTCCTGACCTCAGTCCAGTGACGTGCGGTCAGGGGAGGCAGGTGAGGCAGAGCCTCCCCTGTCAATCTTGAAAAGAGAAAAAAAGTTAACCATAAAATATAATAAATGTTAATATTTGTCGGCTGGTGTGTGTTGTAGGCCCTTTTGCCGTTAGAATCCAATGTAGAAGGAATTTTTTTTTCAATAAAGAATAGCAGAATTTCCGTATGTCCCGTTAAAATACATGGAGGAGATGCGCGATGAGGCAGCACTTTGCTGTGCCTCTCGGTGGATCGCGTAATCCTCACAAACTGCGATGCAAATAGAGGCTGCAGATTAACCATAAAACCCAGTAAAAAAGTTACTCGGTGAGGCAAACAGTACGCCTGCCTCAAGGCAGAGGGCGCTAGTGAGCCCACAGATTCTTGTGCTACCTACAATCTTCTTCGTGCTTGTTTATATTTCCTTTACAATCCGCCTTATCAAAATGGAAGATTACATTTCCAAGCTGAGAAAATTCGCAAATCTGGACTTTCAATCAAAACATTTTTGACAGTCTGGACATTTTTGTCCAGAAGGATCTTCTTTATTGAAAACATTTGTTTTAATATTGGATTCGAACGGTAAAAGGGTTTGTAATACATACCAGCTGACAAATGGATTTCATGTACAAGTAAAGGTAAGACCATAAACTTTTATTATTTCTAGTTAGAAATAAGCTCAACTGGAATAAATTTTAACCTCAAATTAAATATGGGTCACGTTTGTGTGAAGAATACTGATATGAGATATAAAACATAACGCATTGTCTGTTAACAGACAATTTGTATTTGTAAATCTGACTGTAAAAGAGTCAGTGCCTCACCAGCTGTCAACCTCACCGCACGTCACTGCCTCAGTCATAGCAACCTCACTCACCAACCACCACAGTTTGACCCTGACTGCTGGCTGAAAACCCTTAGACCCTTGATTTAGACAGGAGAACTCACAAAAACAGGGAAAAAAGAGGCAACAGAGGATGGACAGACATGCAACATGTCATGTAGAAAATGGATGTTATGTGATAGGGGTCGGTGTACTGCAGAATACCAAGTATAGTCTTCCTCTGTCATGTGTGACACCCCACAGCATGTGGAGTCACACAGTCTACCTGGACAACAAACATTTGAACATGTGATACTTATGGGCATAGATATTCATATATTTTGCTCTGTGAGAATTAGAGAAATATACTGCTCATTTTAATGATCTTTGTGTTTGTTGCATTATTTGTAACATTTTCAAAATCTAAATCCAGGATAATTTATATTCAACTCGGACAGTGTTCAGTAGACTGTCAGTAAATTGACATTCTATTAACACGTTTCTCTACAGCAGGACAAATTCCTGTACATTCACTGCGCTCGGCAGAAAAACTGATTATTTTTGCTCTCTTGCTGTGGTTGGTACCTTTCATATGTTATAAAAAATACTCTGTTAAAGTGATAACTGTTGAGCTCTTACTAATGTATTTGATATCTTTGATGCCAATCACTTGCTATGTTGTGTTTTATTTTATTTTTATCAGTTCACAGAGATCATGTGCCAGTTAAACAGTCAGACCTGTACTCCTGCTGGGGCTATTTCCTATCTGAGATCTTTTTTTTTATATGTTATCCACTGCAACCCCAAACTTTTGAGCAGCAGGATTTGGCCATTTGAAGCTAACTTATTGACTACTTGAGTTGTTTTTGCATAATACAAACTCAACTGGCTGGATGATAGACATACATACACTTTGTATTTTGTCTACATTCCAAAATTCACACCTCAGTTGCTTGATGCAGCAGTATAACGAGTACGTACGAAAGTATAGATGACAGCTGCTGCTGCTGCTGCTGTGTGTACATAGCCCACACTTGCATTCCAATGGCAATAAATTAGTGAAATGACTGTGTCATTACTAAAATCAGCACAAACCATTCCACCTTCTGATTCTGGGAAATCAGCAATAATAGTACATCATGAAGCAATTTCCTCACCAGAACAATTTGGCATACTCTGTGCAGAAGTGATGAGTCTCAGGCTGGGTGGTTGTCTTTAGGGATGCCCTCTTAAACAGTTCTAGATCAATTTAAAAATGTTTCGATCAAGTCAGAGTCACGTCTGAGAAGTATGTCAGTGTAAACCATTTGGTAAAAAGCCTGTTTCTGCCTAACTACAACACTAATGAAGCTTTTGGTTTGAGCTGGAGGAAAACTGTCAACCAGCTTCATTTCATCATCACTCAAAGGCTTCACCTCTCTACGCTGCCCAGTCATTTCAGAGGGTTGGGTGCATGGCAATTTCTTTCAGCTAGGCATACCTGAAGGATATTTAAATCACGTAACCTATGCTGTGTCTCTGCTTTCATTGCAGTCAGTGTCACCTTGCAGCTTTGCCCCTCTGCCACCAGTGTCAAGGTTCTGTTTAATATTCAAAGTCCTGGATGTGACTGCTGTTCATAAGGCTCCATCCCTACACATCTCTGTTCTGTGCCAAAAGTCTATAATAAAGTCCCTATACACATATTAATGTCTTTCCTGATTGAACTCAAGTTGTGATAAACTCATGTCCTGACTCTCTTCTTCTTCTTCCTCTGTTCCTGAAAAACAGCTCATAGTGAGTCCAGTAATAAAACCCATGTGTCACACTGCATGGTGCTGTTTTACATTAAAATCACTGCACAGAATCTTACCTAAAGTGCACTTCTCATTACTTTAAAGGCACGTCTAAGTTTTTGGGCAGGTAAATTATGTGAAAGCTTGTCAACAGTTGGCAAATGATTTCTATAACTAAGAACTGTTGTCTGCACTTTTCCTTTCCATGCAGGATGTAAACTCTCATTTGCTTTGTCCCTCTGAGAATGCAAGTAAAGGTGAAATCAAACACATTTTGACAGGGTCTGTGTTGACTGTCATGCTTGAGAGCCACCATCCCATCTGCTATTAGCCATCAGCAGCTGCATTATTTCAGAAACAGGCTTTAAATTGGAACACGCTCCTTTGTTCTTACCTGGAGGACTGTAACATGATAGATGATATAGCTCGTTGCGGTCAAGTGGTCATTATTTATCCCCAGAGGCTACACACACACACATACATGATGTGCTAATAACATAGCTAATAATGCTGTGACCCCTCTCTGACAGCGGTTTATACATGACACAAGATGTGGAGGTAAAGAGGTCACTCATTCCTCAAGGGAGGCTGCATCTTAGCAACTGGATTGCATTTCAGTTTTCAAGGCCGCCTGTCATTCCATTACCAGTAAGAACAGATGTAAGACAAATCAAAGTAATCCCATAAAGGTAACCACAGAGGTCAATACCCCTTGAAATGTCTGTGACAAGTTGCAGCGATTGCACAAAGGGAGCCTGTGGCGAAAAAAAATGAGATCAAAATCTTTAAATGTGAAGCACTGTCAGGGAACATGACAGACTTCACAGTGCAAATGAAAGTCTGTTGTGGGGCCATTGGAGGGGGATTGAGAGAGGCAGATAGACAGTGAAGCTCAACAGTCCCCATAGAAATCAGATATGATCAGCCAGATAGTGCAGACTGACAGCAGATGCTTTGATGGGCTGCGAAGATGTTGTGTTGGGATGAGGGTGAAGTAGAGGTAGGTGAAGAATTACAGCAAAGTATCAACACTGTGATTAATTAGTGTACACACACAGCTGTAAATACGCCATAGCTTAACACAGCAAACAATGCAGGGGGCACCTACTCTTAATGTGCTGTATAAGGAGCAGAAAAAGCTTGACTCACCCACACAGCATGTCTTTACACACATGATCTAATTGCATGAGCTGTCTCTTTCTCACACTCCCCTCTCCTCACTCTGCTCACATCACTCTGGTTGCACAGACACACATAATAAAGCTAAAAAAAAAATCAGTAACACAGAAACAAAATGTAAAAATCAATAAGCAAACCACCACTTTCTGCAAAGCAAACCACCAAAACTAACAGGCACCCAGAGACAGAAAATTTTATGACTCACCCAGAAAAGTAGATTGAAGAAGACCATTCCATATCGCAGGGCCATCATGCAACCCTCAGCCATCCTGCAACGCCGCAGTTCTAGAAGGAATATGAAGGACAGGTCCAGGTAAAACACCACATATTTCTTCCCCTGGGCATAGCGCCCCTTGGATGTTTGTGGCCCCTTTGTTGTGTGGAAGCCAAACGCAAACGGTGGCCGCTTATACTCAAACTCCCCACTGAAGCGGTGAAACCCAGAAGTGAACGGCGGCGTGTCGGGTTTGCTGTCCAAAGATGGACTACGCCGGTACGGAGTCTCGTCAGTGCTTGAGCGTCTCATTATGGAGGCTGAATGAACTTCAGGAGTCTTTAATAGTCTGTGTACTTCAGGTTAGAGCAAAGTTCACGGTGAGGGACAGAGGTTACTCCACTGAGGGCTGAGAAATTAACACAGTGACACAGCCTATCTTTACCTCAAAATAATTATGACCCCTATCAAATCCTGGAATTTAATTACATCCCAAGTGTGATCACACTTAATCTGAGTTAATCCGTGGCAGATAATGGGCTGCCATTCACTTGACTTGAGTTCCTTTCTTTAATCCCTGTGCCACTATATTCTGCATGAGACTTTGTATAATCCTGCTGCAACACCTGTATAATTCTGTGCACTTAGGCCATAATCCTAACATACACATACACAGCTACACATCCCTGTTCCCCCTCTCTGTAATCCCTCAACAAAGGTGTCAGGCTCTGAGAAATAAGCTGGTTTGCAGTTTCATCTCATAACAATTCAATCAGGCAAACGACTGAAGGGCTTTGACTCGACCTTTCCAGCTGCTTTGGGTTGGCAAAATGATGCAGAAACATCCTACCTGGTCTCATGTGAAATTCCTGAACGAGTGCTCTCGACCAGAAGAAAACAGCACCCCTGCTTCAGCTACTGAACTTCTTTTAGATCACACATCCACTGAGAATGAAATGCTACGCTCAAGTCCAAGTGTTCAGCATGTGGCTGTCGCTGTGCTTTTGCTGACATGCAAAAAAGAATGGTCAAAACAAGACAAGGAAAAGAGAGTGAAAGATGGTGTTATGAATCTGATAGGAAGATTGGAAAGATGCATGAACAGGATGAATAATGTGTGTGAGCGAACCATTCTTTGGCTTTATGAATTAGTATCCTTGTTGAATTGTTGCTTTGCACTGTTACCTCCTGGCTTCTTTTACCTCTACCCTAACTTGTCCCTTCTGTCTCTGAAGTGTCTGGGGATTATTCTGCCTGTCTCCACGGCTTATTCTTCACACATCTAGCAATTCACCCTCTTCACCTCCGTCTTTTTCTCTTTCTGCACCTCACTCTGAGCCTCTCTCTGCACTCCCCCCTCTGTGCTGACGGCAGTTAATCAATTTCCAGACTCTCATCAGTGAGGCAAAGTGTTCGGTGTCCCCTCTTCTCGTCTCTCCCTCCTCCGCTACAACGCTTCTTGCCTCTTCTCTAGGTGGGCAAAGAGATCAAGGTGTCCACTGGGGTCATGGCCAAGCAGCGAGGGAAGAAGAAGGAGAGACAGGCTGGGAGAAGAGAAAGACAGTTTCCTCAGAGAAGCAAAAGAAAGACTGCAGTGTCTGAGCAGTAGTCCAGCTTTGCTGCCTGAAGCTGCCTCCCTTTTTCTCTTCACAAGCTCTTGTTCTTTTTTCTTTCTCTGCTCCCCCCTCCCTGTTTCTTTAGTCCCTTCTCTCACAAGCTCTGATGCTCTCTCCTCAGCATGCACAGTCTCAAACACCCCATCCCTCCTTGGTAACTGTCCCCAAAATCTGGCATCGCAGAACGCAGGAGCAGTCATTCATATTCTGGCCACACCTTATGAGGAGGCACAGCCAATCAGTGCCTCGCAGCCCCATCCTCCCTCGTGCACACACCAATCATGATTTACCATCTACCAGATAACACTCACGCACATGCACACACGCGCACAAAACCTGGTGTGGTGTTAACATAGCGGTGCTGAGAAGCCTGCTGCACTTGCGCTAGTGCTTCCTCCTCCTCTCCTCTCTGCCTCCTGCCTGGAACTCATTCTACATGCAGAGGTTGTTCTTGTGCACAACTCAATCTACTCTCTGCACGCTTGGCTTCAGTAATGCTTCTCTCTCCCTCTGGACCTGGACTAGGGTCATACAGTATCCGTGTAGGTGCGCTCAGCACATATTTACACACTACAAACAACACATCTAAAGTCTGTCTCTGTACGAATATACTGGGAGGTGCACACCACCGTTGACATTCACAGAAAATAGCTGCATGCTGACCACAGCCCAGTAGCCATCTGGGTCACTGGCTTTATGAGTCCACAGGGACGTTTCAAAGCTGCAGAGGTGCCTGCTATATTCATGGCTCAATCAAGTATTTAATGGATTTCTGTTTTGTTTCCTGTGTGTATTTGTGCGAGACCACAGAGGCACCAGCTGAGGAGAATGAATGTGACTTACTGACCAACTGACAGTGTTGAAAAGAGCATGCAAAACCTGTGAAGCGAAGTCATATGAGTTTCTGGAGAAAGCAGGTGGTTTCTAAACAATGTTTGTTCACAAACAAAACACTTAACTTGCAAGTGTTGACATGCCTGCAGTGACAAGCCTGAAGTGGCATAAGAAGTATCACTAGATTTGTTTGCTTCCCTTTCATCTGCAAAATCTACTCATGCACTTTTCAAGCTCCTGTCTCTCTTTGCATATGGTGCACTTCCCTGCTGGTCTTTAAGATGATAATTTAAAACCCACAGTATTCTTGGCATTGTGTAAAAACAATAAGTGGGTTAGGGTTAATGGAAGGATGAGGAAAGGTACAGTATTGTACTGACTGTCTTGCAGACAAGCTGTGGGTTACGACTCAATTTGATTTAAAAATGTATTGATTGCTGATGTCTTATCAAGAGTAGCCACATCATACACAAAAACTGCATGGGTGACATGCAGCTCAACAAGCAAACAGGACTAACTATCATGTTTTTTCATTATTTCATTTAGCCTAAAAGCACGGCACACCAATCAGCCATGACATTATAACCACTTACAAATGAGGTGAATAACACTGATTATCTCATTATAATGGCACCTGTCAGTGTGTGGGCTACATTAGGCAGCAAGTGAACATTCTTTTCTTGAACAGGCAATCCTAAGGATCTGAGTGACTTTGACAAGGGCCAGATTGTGATGGCTGACAACTGGGTCAGAGCATCTCCCAGACTGCAGGTCTTGTAGGGTGTTCCCGGTCTGCAATGGTTAGTACCTACCAACAGTGTCTAAGGAAGGACATATGGTGAACCAGAGACAGGGTCATGGATGCCCGCTGCTCACTGATGATGAGGTTGACCTATTGTGTATTGTTTGAATCTTTGTTAAAATGGTTGAAAATAAGAAATACTGTACACTGGCCTCTACGAGGAGAAACATTCAGCAGCTGATATCACACCTAGAGTAAAACAGTGGAATGTGTCAAAAAAAAATCTAACTTACTCACAACCATAATTTTCACTCCTTTTACATAAGTTTTTCACCAAATGTTTGACTGGTCGCCACATCTGTGCTCTTCCTGACAGTAGAACTGTGGAAGTAAACGGATTCACAGAAGATGCGCAGTGTGCTGCAGAGTGACACGAGCGCCAACCAACTGCTGCATTGACTCCTGTGTACATAATGTTATGGCTGATCAGTGTTTATTTCTCATTAGCTAAATTTCTATAAAAATGTTGTGCGAATTTTAACAGAATTTTGAGAAAATCTGCCAAAGAAAATGATGGTTCCATTCAGTATATACCATTAAATGAAGATTAGGACCTGGTGGTGACACAAATTTTCAGAAAAAGAAGGCACAGAAGAAGAGGGTGCAACAAGAGGACATAATTAAAGGGTGTCAGTCAAACCACACACAGTGACAATAAAAAAAACAATAGCAATATGCTTTTTCTTTGTTTTATGTATAAATTGGAGGGATGTTACATTTTCCTTATTGTCATCCACTATTTCTCTTCTCTTTAGTAAAGCAAATACTTCAGTGGGCAGACATGTCACATGCGTCATGTACTGCCAGTGATGATTTATTTGTCTGTTTTCATTGCCCTTTGATGCATTTTGCTTTTATCAATGCATCCACTTTTCCTGCTCAGGCATTGGAAAAAACATTTAAGATCTGAGATTTTTTTACTTTCTTTGCGCTTCCATTTTGTTGCTTTCATGCACAAATTGAACATGGGCCCAAATATAAGCATGCTAGCTTAATGTAGGCACTTAACGACGGACGCAGCTGATCCGCAATCCAGCACAGTGCCTGTATTGCTAAAGCTGTTGCCAGTAATTGGCACGGTCTGCTGTCATGTCACGAAATATACAAACTGAGATTAATCTTATAGCAGCAAACTAATTTTAAGTGTAAGTGGATTGTCATTAATGCACTGTGAGCCCACAAACATTCCGCAAAAAACACCTTATTGCAATTCATGTTTCCCCTAACCTAACTTCCACTATCACACAAACACAACACCACACCAGCAAACACACTCAAATCAGCACACAGCCAAAGTAAACGTGCAGTGGCACCCTGAGGGTGGCAGCAGCTTTGATGTCCTCAGCATGTACAAATACAGAGCTGAGGGAAAAGGCTGAGGCTGCAGCAAGGAAACATGATACACAACATGCTGAAATTAATCTCTGTTAAGACTGAAACTTAATAGATTGGAGCTCACATTAAAACACTTTATAAATCACTGTGATGTGAAGCAAAAATGTAAATGAACTGATGTGCTCATTCAGATACACATAGTGTGCTGTGCTGCACTCTGGTTTCCATGCAGCTATAAAGGGGTAGGAGGGTAGCTTGCTTTCCCTTGTTTAAGCTGTAATAGGAGTCTCCTATGAATATCTCAACTAAATGACAAAATAGACTACAAGAATAACTGCAATGCACACAGAACAGCAATATGAGCATATGGAATGACAATGGCTTTCCACAAGACTGGCAAATTATTTAGAGCTGTTTGAATGGTAGAATTTTAGTTTATGCAACAATCATTGCAGTTCTGCCTCTAATATGGCCCTCTTTTGGGAAAGTTATTATATTCCTCTGTAAAACAACCTGTTGGACAGTGTCGGGATGTTGTAAACCAAAGTTGCAGCTTTACAGTACAGCGAAGCATCCATTATTATGGATGTGTCAGGTTTGGCGTGTACAGATGCCAAACAGAGGTTGTGGTGAACTCAATTAGAAAACCAGACGAACCGAGGTAGCGACAAGTTCTTTACTTGTTGTAAGCAAAACAACTAACACAAAGTCCAGGATATCAATCAGGTCGATAAGACAGTCCAGGGTCGGCGCCGGTTAACAGGTATAGCCAGGGGATCCAAACTCGAGGTCAAGGGGGACAAAATCAGAAGGTCGGTACAGTGCAGGCGAACAGAATCTGGGAGGGCATAGACAAAACACGGTGGTCAAAAAACGGTAATCCAAGGTCAGAAACAGAGAGTCAGGCAAGGTATAAATGCTGGAGAGTCAGAGCTGGGGTCTAGAACAATCTGGCAGCGTCCTGGTGGGAGGACGCTGCCTAAATAGAAGTAAAAAACAGGTGCAAACAATAAGGAGCAGGTGAACTAATGATGATTAAATAAAAGGGCCAAAACTGAGGTGAAACAAAACAGGAAGTCATGTGAAAATAAAAGCATGACAGGAAGTAAGAGGGGCAGGAGCGTGACAGGGTGGTGCACTGGCAATGCAACACTGATTCCCATAAATCCAGAAATGAAAAAGTCCTTGTTAAAGTGCTGTAGCTTGAATCTTTCTTTGAAAACATGCTTTCCCCAGGCAGCTTCATCCACAGCAAGGTTAAAGCTTTATCATTTATCAAATGGCCTTAACACATCTGAAAACTCCTTACAAAATACCTTAAAAAGTTGCTTTACTCTAAGTGTTTTCAACAGGTCCTGCCATTTTCTGGCCAAGAATAATGTGCACATCAGATTATCACAGTGTGGCCAGCGTTCAATCATCAGAACATGAGAATTTTCCAGGCTCATTTACTGCCGGGGCATCACTTTCAAAAAACACAGCTGTGTGTGGCAGAAGAGCCAACTGAAAACAAATTTTCACAACAGCATGACACCAAAGATCACCGAGAAATCTGTGCCACGAAGATTAATAACAGCTCTGGTGGGAAATAAACATGCTTTATCCAACCAACCCAACTCATGTGGGATTTAAGATTCTCTATGCTGATAAAATAGAGATTTATGGGCAATAAAACAAAAATAGATGCATCAAGATACCAACAAATTTTGGTAAAAAAAAAAAAAAAAAAAAAAAAGAAAGAAAGAAGCAGCATTTAAAAATGAGTTAAAACTCTAAGATTAAATAAGATAAGAAATCATGTAAAAGGGTTGTGGAGGAAATGTAATATAATTAAAGTGTCAAATAGTGCTGATATTCTATTGATTTATTCTATCAGCTTAACAGCAGTATTTTAAAAGCAATGAAATGAAACGTGTGCGTTTTTAGTAACCCTGTGTTTTGTTTATCTTTCTCTGTGTATTTTATGAGTTAAATATAAAAAAATCCTATGTCATTAGATATCATTTTGATGTGAAGTGTCACTGCAGAAAAAAAAACTTAATTTGTCAGTGGATGGACTGTATTCAGGACCTCAAATGAGCCTGAATTATGTGAAGGAAAATAGCATCACAACAGGGCAATTAGTAAGCAACGTGCCCAAGGGTCCTTTGTAGTGCCAGTCTTGTTGCACTAATATAG